AGGCTTATCGCACTCAAATATTCCTAATATAAACTTTCCAACGAAGGGCTAGCTCGGAGAGTCTTTCGTTGCGCAACGAAAATTTAACTGATGAAAACGAATTAAATGAATTCTCGTTTTGCAATAATAAGATTTATTAAGTATTAATGATATCTCCAAAAAAATATTAGATTTATTAAAAATCTTAGCTTTATTTTTCTTGTTTTCTTTTCCTTTTATCTTTTCCTATTTTCGCGTAAATAACCGTAGCACGAAATAAAATGCTCAGTCGAGGAGTGCTTTGTTTGTCCCCTTTGCATCGGGTCCTAGAGATACGGCTTGGATGCAGACGCGGTAATCGTTAATGAACCTCCAGAGAGTGTAGTCGTTGAATCATTCCACTGAATCAAATCATCGAATCTTTTACTATTAAGGAAACTATATTAACTATTAAGGAAGGAAAGAAAAGAAAGAGAATTTGCTAGAATTTTAAACTTTTAACCATTTTGAACAATTTAAGGTAATCATTTCTATTATTATTTAGACTATTATTATTACTATTATTATTATTATTATTATTTGATTGATTGATTTCTTTATAAATTAAATTCATATCACGTTAAATTTATATAACCTTTTTGTGTAGCTCTTTATAGTAACACTTAAATATTATACTATATTTTTAATTTACATTATATTATTATTATTATTATTATTATTATTATTATTATTATTATTATTATTATTATTATTTGACATCTCCTTTTTATATTGATTGATTAATATATTATAAGTATTAAATGTCAAATTATATACAGTGCTGATACTTTTATCCTTTTATATATAATAATAATTTTTGTCGTATACTTTCGAAGTTCTTATACTATATTTTTTAGTCATCATTCCCATTCTTATTTGATATTGTCTGATTTGTTTTTGTACTCCGCAATTATGTAATTAGGTCTATATCACAATGTTGTTTTATTCACCATTATGATTCATGATATATTTTCTATTATTATTATTATTGTCACTTTATTAATATTGTTTTTGCATAACTCTTTATTGATATTACTGTTTACGTTTACATTGATCTAGGAAATTATCTTTATTGCGAAATAATCTTAAATTGTAATTTCGCGAACTCTAATCCAAATATAACCATATTTAGTATCCATCATAAAAGTAGAACTCGCCAGAGTTCCTTTTCTCAAACTCATTGTACTGTTCTACGTCATCTCGGGACATAACATCATTGAAAGTCAAGAAAGATAGAACGATACTTGCACTAAATGGAAAGCACCCGTTATTGTTACGCTGGATCTAATTTTTTGCGGAAGAAACACACACACACACACACACACACACACACACACACACACACACACAGTGAATAATCAGAATAATCAGAGCTTTTCGGCAAAATAAATAAAAATCAAATCAGAGTAAGTTAATTAATTAATATAATAATAATTAATTAAATAGCTTTATATCGAATTAATTAATAATAAATATATATATATATATTAATTAATTTATAATGTTTTTCAATGCGTGGCCCAACAATATCTAACAACTAATTGAACATTTCTATGGACATTTTACAATAATTATAGAACATTTCGTAATCTTCAAATTCCATTTCTTTGACCAGATTGTCACTGTCACCCTGTAATCTTCGTCTTTCTGCGAATATCGGACGCACCTATTCTATGACGAGCTTTTTTCTGTTGGTATATCATCAGTTTCCATATTCCAAATAATTTTAATATATTATATCGTCTAATTTTATGTTGTTGAGATTATTTCATCTTCTTTCACTTTTGCCATCGCTTCCATATTATTAATAATAACAGATCAAGGTCCATGATGACTTCTGAATATGTTCGCACAGATTAGGTTCGCATCTACTTGTACTTATTCGTACACATGCATATATGTAAAGTCTCGATTCCCCATGAAGCGTACTTTTCCAGATACGCAGATTACAAAAACCAATCACAAATTAGTTTAGTATTTCTGTAGAGAGTACAACAGAAACCTTAATCAGCAATTGGTTGTATTCATTACGCATTTCTTGAAATTACGCTCTATGTGAAAGAAGACTTTCAGAATGGCGTAACATGTTTTAGTAAATCACTAGAATACGCAGATTATGCTTACGAAAGTTACGCCGCATGTGACGACATCCTAATAGAAGTCTAATGGAGATCAGAAAGACAGAATTACAGATGTCTATACTAAACTAGATTGCTAACTAGGACTTTGGACTTTGCGTCACATGTGGTTTCCGGTTGTATACGAGAAAATGGCGGCAGTCCTATGTACGTGATACTTGTTTGAATTTTACAGCGTCAGTGTGTGTATGGCCATTACATTTCTATAAAAATACCATGTATCTTGTTGCATCAAAAAGTATCATAATCAAAAAAAGATGATGTTAGTCAATTTAAGTAAATTTTACATTTATAATAAATATATAAATGCTTCATGAAACATAAATAGTGGTTAATGCAATTTTATAGATTATGGTGAAAACGAAATTTTTAATATTTTCACTCAGAACTATTTGAAAAAATAAAATGGCTTCAAAATATTGGAATTTTTCCTTTTAACAAAAGATAGCCATACGTAGAGTCTAAAAAGAGGTATATACAATAAAGTTGTTACTAGAATAACAAGAAAATTTCTATTAAATACAAATGTATTTCTATTAAATACTAGATGTTTCGACGAATTAGAAATTGGAACAGATACTCCACACCGTGTTCAACTAATAACTGCGATATGTAAGCAATATTTAACAATAAGAATGTTTTCATACTCGAATAAATTGAATAAAGAAATTACTCCAATTAGTCAATGTTATCGATTGACC